CCCCCCCCCCCCCCCCCCCCCTCTTAGGTCAAAGTCTGGATCTGCCACTGCATGTAGGTACACGTTAACCTTTCCTTGTGATTTACACCTCCATAATATGGACACCTCGATATTTAGGGAAAGTTAACTTGGTTCTGAAGATTCCAATACAATCTTTACCTCTTACAATATATGGACCCTTACTTTATGAAGACACCGTAGCCTGCTCCTATGGTGTCTGTATTAAAGAGATTTGTACACGGGGTGGGGAGTATCCCTTATATGGGCTATATAAGTATGTGCAGCCCCAAAGGGTATGGATTTTAGCCGTTTTAAAGCTTAAGAATGCAAGATGAGCTAAGCAATGAGTTGAAGGTATGGTTTAATTTGAAATCCAAGCCTACTTGATTTGAGTTCGTCCTCGGATCACCATATTGGCTGTGATGGCAAGTAATATTTATGTGTGGGGTGGGGGAAAGTAAAAATTTGAACTAACTGGTCCACTCAGAGAACGTGGATTTCAGAATTGTTTCTCTGGTCTGTACAGAATCCTTCAAAGATTTCTCCACACTGTTCAAGTGAAGAAGTGGACAGAGAATTTGCTTGTAATGCAATGACATATTACAACTGTTGTGCAAACTCGCAAAGCCTGCACTGGTGTCTTATGGTAAAATTGGCCCATTGTTCCATGATTGTCCACAAGACTGAACATTCATGATAAAAACCAGTACTTTTCAGTGAATGCTGCATTCAAATGCCACCTCAGGCTATGGGTGGCCACGTAGTTGCCTTGCATCTAATTACATTGTTCAGACTAGCTTATGCGTATAAGTGTTTGTCAGTGATTAACATCTTCAGTTGGTGGTGTCTACAAAACAAAGACACGGAAGACCAAAAACGAAAGACTTGATTAATTTTAGGCTTTTGAACTACTAGTACCCTGTAAATGTACACAGTCATATAATATTCTCTTTTGTAGGTACGTTAATTTGTCATTGTTGTTTAGGCAAAACCTGCTGAACCCGAGCTTGTGAGTGCCGTAGCTGGAAAACCTAAGAAGATTGTTTATAAAGCAAGTAATGATGTCCTTGCCATGAATGCTGAAAAGTTTGGACAGTGGACAAAGAATAAGAACCGTGTAGTACAGACAGATTACTTTGTTATTGGAGGAAAAAGAGAGAAAAAAAGATTTTGGTTGAAGATAAAGAGTGTGCACACCCGTGACAAGGGGCTGTATTCATTCAGGATCAATGATACTGTTGTTGGACAGTGGCAGCTGCGAGTGAAAGGTAACTGTAAAGGTTTATTAAATAATTATGTAAGTCGGTCAGTTGGTCAGTCAGTAAGAAAGGTCTTTATTTGATAAGGGTAACACTTGACAGTACAAATGATTGACTGGTGACCTTGTGGCCCCCTACCTATAAATTAACAAAATATAAAAAAATCTATTTAACAATAAATTATTCTATGATCACACGTTGGATATGAGTTGGCTATAATCATCTCATATCCAACAAGTGCAAGGGGATTAATTTTTTAATTAAAAATGCCCCCAAAATACAGAAAACTAAAATAAAATAAAAGCAATTCATTTCCTTTGTTTTGTTGTAATATTTTGTGACAAAGGTCCAGTTGGGGATTAAATCTGTTACATTGCAAGCATTCCGTTATTGTGTTTGTCGATCAATCACATCTTTTGTTTGGGTTCTAGTATTGTTAAATTTATGTTTGCCACAAATTTCAGGGTGGTCCATTTAAGGTAGTCCATGGATAGTCCATTCAAGAAGTCCATGGACCAGGTCCATCGGGGCTGGGTAGTCCATGGACTAGGGGTCAGCAAAATGTACCAACCCCTTAAAAGTGCACTGCGCTGGTGTTAATGATTCTGTCCTATTTTTGTATTTAGAAATGTCTGAGTCTTGTGGAGGGCCTGTTGAAGAGCCAGGTGAGTGTCTAATGAGTGAGGAAGTGAGGAAACTGATTGTATGCATGAATAATTAATAAGCAAATTATGCATATCAACACATTTTCCCTGGACAACCAAACAAATGTGNGGTCTTAGATGATCTTTGTTTCAAGACACCTGAACAACAATCATGTCTAAATCAGTCACAAAGTCACACAACTTAAAAATATGCCTGGAAGTACATTAAAACCATCAATGCTTATGACGCTTGACAGATATTCCACTCCTACGGATTGATATTCCTTCAACACTTGACCAATATTCCACTGATACTTAGTGAATATTGATCCATCAACTCTTGACCAAATATTTACCAACTACTGGCCGACTATCAGTTGACATATCGAGTGATACTTTAACAATAGTTCCATTTGGCTCAAAAATATGCTAGGATATTTGTCCACGGGCACTATCTATGTTCCAAGCGGCAAACAGTTTTCCATAGGCGTTAGTTTGAGGAAAACTGTGAGCTTTGAGGAACAGATTATGTCTAAGGAAAAATATCCAAGCATATTTTCATGCCAAATGGGGTCTATTGGTCTATTGTGTTTATTGTCCTTCAATTATTTTTCACAACAGGCGCAGTTTTGAAAATTGGAGAATTAATCACTTGGATGTTCCCCAGTTTTAGCTGGGGCATATTCAGTCATGTGACATGTTTAGACCAATCGCACGCATGCAAAAATATTTGATGAATTATAACAACTGATATTTGGTCAATGTTTCAACTGATACAAAATTAAATTAAATGTACATAAGACAACAGTAACCATAGTTACCTGTCCAAAGGGCAAGGTGGAATTGAAGTTGTTTTCGAGCCCTGAAAACTCACACTTTTATGTTAGATTATGCTTGACTCCTTTTCCACAGCTTTTGCTGTTGCCTGTGAAGAAGTAGTTTGAAGTGATTCAATTCCCAGGCTTTAAGGGTTGTAACCAAAATATTTTAAGTCACCATGCTGAGAGAAAGTATATTCTGCAGCAATAGTTACTTGTAGACTCAAAGGGGTCAGTTTCTAACAAATTAAGTGTTAACCATGTGCCATCATTTTGTTATTTTCAGCATCAGCATGTGTGAAATTTAGTAAGATTTCATATCCAAACTGCCGTTCATTTCCTGGACCACCACTAAATGTGAACGTTTCTAGTCATCTATTCAAGCGAAAGCCCATAGTACAAGTTGTGTGGAATCCACCAAACAATGGTTAGTGCCAAATACTTCCATTTCATTTTTTTATGTTCAGTAGATGTTGCTTTTTAAAGTTAGCAATCGGCTGTCAAAAGTGACTGCATGCAAAAAGTATGGTTTAGCTTGTCTTCACTTATGCTTTAATTGAGATTATGTATAAATTTATAAATGAGTTTCGACTTTAAAAGCGTAATCCAGAACCAATTAAAGTATATCATACATGTAGAGATTTTGCTGACTGTTCTAGTCTTTAGCTGTCACTGTCTTTCCTGTTCTTTTGACAACCCCTGGCCAGTTTTCTTCTGTGTCATTTTGAGTTTTCCTTGCACCCTATAACTGCCCCTCCCTCTCCAAGGATGGCTATACAATAGGGTTCCATGTATTGGGGAAGCGAAATGACTAACGGTTGTGACAAATAATTAGTCTAGACTAGGAGTTGATGCTTGATTCTGAGAGAATTGCATGTAAATGGAAATACAGAGTTAACAACAACTATTAATCAAGAATCTGATATTGATATAGTGATGTTGTAGCTTCTAGAAAATGTTGAGTCTGGGATAGTGCAAGGAATTTTCATATCTTGTCTAGAACAGGATCATAAAATGCAGTTGAACTTGGTCTTAAAATGACTAATGGTTTCAGAGTCCCAACAGGACACCCCCACCCAACAATTCACACAGTACCCCCTTTCTCTGTACTAAAACCAAATGCCCTTGAATGGTAGTTATAATTACAAGCAATTTGTCCATGCCAGCTCCAGCAACATTTTGTGGCTGTTGAATGTTCAAGGCAGCAGTGTTTAGTGTGTAATAGTTTACTCAAAGTTGGTGTTTTTTAGGATTCAGTGATTTGTGGGGCTATCAAGTGTACATTGCTGGAAAAGATAATCACGCTGGTCACTTTGACTGTCATCAGATAAACAGCAAGGTACATTTTCTATTTGTGTGTGCGCACACTGTACAGGTACATAATTTTCGTCAGTTGTCCCTGAACAAAATTAATTCAGTAATTTCCACTGATCGTATCATGGATCATTCGTGTGACAGTTTTGCTTCATTTTATGTACTCTGACTAATGTTTAGAATGATGTACTAGAAATCTAACTAGATATAAAATGCCATGACAATTGTCTTTGTTCACTCTTGTCTAAGAGGGGTTTTAAAGCTATTGTCATGATTCAGTTTATAATTAGTGTACTCCATTCAGTAAGTGCCTCAAATTCTATTAAACATGCTGAACATGCATGCAGTCTTCAGATAAGTGTACATCCATCTTCTAATATTACTTGCTTCCAATATAATCTCTCAGGGCTACCAAAAGCTGACAATTCTCATTTGTCATTTTAGAAACGAGTGTCATCTCGTAGTTGCGTATGGGACCGATGCTTGGGACACAACAAAATATGAGAAGTCATACGTCCCATGTAACATTCCTACAAGCGACTGCAAGATGAGATTTCTTCTCATTTCACCAGTGGCTAATGGGTGTTACCCATTTCATGTAAACTTACTTGTGTGAAATATTCTCTTTAATTTAGAATGAAAGGTTGTACTGGATATTTAAAGACTACATTAAATATGGAGCAACATATCAAATCACGGTGCAGAGTATGCCAGCAAATTATCAGTCTGATGACAAAAACGAAGTGGTTAAGAATGTTAAAGTTCCAGGTAATCACGCACTAATGTTAATAATCGTTTTCAAGACTGTGATACTTTTTTTAACCAGAGAATACCTGACTGCAGACTCTGCTGCAAGAACAAATAATAAATGAATGCTTTGGTTGCAGAGAAATGCCTGTTTCAGGAGTACACAAATTCTGCCCAGTGCTGTAAGTTTTTTTCACTTTTCTATTCAAGTCTATTCTATTAAATGTGAGTGAAATTTAGTTGAGATTGGCTGATTTCTGTAATTCCTTGACATTCCCTAGCTTGAGGACATTTGCGCCCAATTGTTACTGTGCATCCTTTCTGAGCACGAAATTCATGTCGCAAAGTCGTGCGGCCATGTCACACATTAAGACTGCGCACAAGTATAGGGCTTGGCAGCTACTTCATTAGGAACGACATCAGCTCCAAGACTTTACTTAATATACTTAGTTGTGCTGAACTGAGTGTTAATATACTTAGTTGTGTTGAACTGAGTATGTTTAAACTGATCTAAATTTTACTAATGTAGCTTTTTATAGCTGATAGCTGTAAGCTAATTAACATCGTCTTAAAATAAGGAAAACCTCTAAAAACGGACGGTCTTCAAAGCGCCTCATCACAAAAATGCGCACAGTGGCCCCCAATTTTTTTGGCTTTTTGGCAAAGGTCGATCTTTACCTTACTTCATGGTAAGTTTTCTGTCTGTGGAAATATTTTGGGCGCAAACGTCCTTAACTTTCAGGAGTGATCAAACTTAATTTAGTTTACAATATGAAATCCATTGCAAAACAGATCTGAGATATAGAGGATATTACACGGTGGNCTCACAAAGGTGACATACGGAAAATACGCCACTCGGGTCCCGGATGAAGTGGCGTATGGAATCTACGAGTGGTTTAGTTCCCAGTAAAACACTCTTCTCCATATAATAAAATAAGTTATGAAACCGAGCTAAATGTAGAGTGCGTAGGATTGTAAGGTGGTAATTAATTAATTACATACAGTATACCAAACTCCCATTGGCCGCACAAACTTGGGACATCCTGCATATTCACAGTCATGGTAGCGTTAAATTAATTTGTATTTTGGATAATTAAAGTACATCTTGATCCGCACCTAGTTTTATTGTCAAAGCTGACTTTGACAATATTACTTTCTACAAGTGTAGTCTTTACTGACGGCTAGTGACGTAATGTGCTTACCATGAGATCACTGTACTAAGCAAATTAATATTGATATGGTTGATTCCTAAACTCTCCTAATAGTTTAGACATTTAAAATTTTGGAATGCATTTACAAGTGGTAAGGAGACTGCCCGGATATTAATTTTTTTTGATCACTGCAATTTGGTACTTTTTGCCCTTATTCGAATATATACACGTGACGTTGTATTTCTATGGCTTGGCACATCATTACATTGCCCTTTCTTTCAACTCCGGTTGTATCTAAGACATATAACAGGCAGAGTTGTCATCACAGTAAACTTTGTAGAAGCATGTAGCCTTCAGTTCAATTCAATTCAATTCAGTGTTAATTAAAACTCTAATGGTGTCTAATGGCCACCTTCGTATAATCATGTCCATCTTTTCCTCTCTGTAAGCATTACATGGAGCTGATTTGTCATCCAAAACATACTCCTATGAATTCGGTTACAAATAATGATTCCCTATATAGGGCCCACCACTCTACACAAGACATTTGATTATGTCCCTATAATGTAGCCTTCATGTAGCCTACATTACAGGCGTTAACAGGGAAGGGATAGGGAGGCAAAAAACGCGAGGAAGAAGGGGAAGGAACGCCTGCTATAAGAACCGATTGAAATCATTTGCCGGAGTGATCGATTGATTATAGAAGTGTTAAAAATGGGAAAAATCACCACAAAACAACATAACAATCATCAAGTTATTTTAGCGTGGAAATATCCTCTCCTCCCCCGAGGAGTTCGAAAATAGGGAGTAAAAAGGAGGAATATGGTAAATTGCAATAATTTCTGCAGGTTCTGTAGTATCGAATACGGTGCATAAGCGGTGAGTGTCTTTCGAAATTTTATTAACAAAGTTCAGAGACTGTGTTGGCTGACTGTCGTTCTTCCTTTGGGTTCGCTTTAATTCAATTCAAAAGTTGTATTTAACGTATTTTAAAAGTTGTGGCCGCAAAGTCAGAAACGCTGCAGATTTATACTGTGTTATTAAGATGACTGTAACCTCGCAATGCCATAACGGCTTCGGCTACCAACTTTGAGGCGCTGGATGCTTATAGCCAGTATTTTGAATTCACATCAGCGAATAACACTGGTAAATTGGAGCAATCGATAGTAGGATACCCCGTGATTCTATCTCCCGCGAATGGTCTTTCAAAGATACTTTTCAAAGGCGAAATGACAAGAATCGACGCATTATGGTTCACTTCACATAAAATCTTGACACGAACAAACATTTGATAACTTAAATTAGTCTTTTCCCGTATCCTGCAGGCAAAACTGTCAGAAATAGCTCTTGCAGTTAAAAGAGCGTTCACAACCGATTCTTGCTCGGGTTTCATCGTAAATTTGCTCATGCCGACCGAGATATAAATCTCTCAGAGCCCTTGCTAATACGTCTTCGTCCGCGACGATTGTTGGTTGCTTTTGATGAGATTGTGTAACTATAACAATTAATAAGTTACTCAGTGAGTATCAGCCAATGGAAATTGGCTGGGAATTGGGAATTGCGTTCGCCAGCGAACGCAGAAAGGAGCAAAAGGGGGTTCTTATTGCAGGCGTTCCTACTCTCTCGCACTCCTCTCTTCTTTTCCCGCTCTCCCTCTCCCTCGTTTTACACCTGCTACGCAGGCCACCTTTATGAAGATGTTGATCTGTATTTTATTGCATGAATAAAGACTCGTTCTCTTTGGGCAGGTTCTATAATTAACATCACAGCAGAGTACAGTGAGAAAGCAATTCATCTGAAATGGATGGTGCCTTTGCAAAACCAATGTAAGGAAATCAAGGCATTCATGATAGAATGGAACAACATTCAGAAACCAGAAGAATGTAATGGACAAAAGTTAATCGAGGTACAAACGTTCATTAAAGGTGTTTGTATTAGAGATTAGGTCAGCTGCTTTCTCTTGTACCTAGACAGGGTGATGGGAAACGGCCAGAATCAGTCTTTAAAATGATTAAATGACTCCGTTGATGAGATCCAAATTAAAGTTGCTTGTGCGTGATTTTAACAAATATCAGGTGCTTACTACACTTGCTTGTTTTGTTTTGCTGTTCTTGTTAAGAAGCACCTAAGATCCCACAAGATTCCAAGGAAGATCCTTGGGAATATTTCTTCTCCTGGGAATCCTGATAGTAAATGTAAATTTGCCAAAACTTCCAATCTGGCGTGTGAGATGAGCGTGCCACCACTTCGCGCGTGTTTTCATTACTTCGTCCTCTAGGAAGTTGTAGGAAGGAATAGAAGACCTTCTCTTCATACTCGGCTCCCTCTCTTTATCTCCTATTATGCCACAGTGTCTTTCATACTATTCAATTATGTTGTGGACTTGGAATGTGGCAGTGTGAGCTCCAGATGGAGGGAATAGACTGACAGCCCGTCTAGTGATCAGTTCGCCATTGATATAGATTTGACACATGGAGCCTAGAAGCTACTAGTACTCCAGGTGGACTAAGATACAACAACGGCATCAGATAAATCCAATCTGACCATTTAGACTACCCTCGACTAGAAAGGTGCCTCAGAGGGGGTGTCATATTAGCAATGGAAGTGTTCATTGATAGAATGGCTCCATGGCTACGCATGCCCACTGGCAATCTTTAATCTAGAATAGTTTGCTTCATTTATTGATGGCGTAGAACCAGTCTTCTAGTTGCCGTGTTGAGTAGAACATATAGATTACTTCATGGTTGGTTNGCGCGGATCCCAAGACTTACAGTCTCCGTCCCCGATTATGGCTCCTGTTGCGAGCTAAATAATCTCGGCTATCGTTGAGCTTCTGAGCTGTGTAACAACCTAACAAAAGAATAACAAATACCAGCATCTGTTGTTGTAAATCTCTCGAGAAGACACTCGAGTTTGATTGATAATGTTAGTTGACAGGTATGGAGCTTTTATTATATATATTGACAATCAAGCAAATATCAGGTTGAACTTGGCCATTCCTGTGTAACCAAGTATTATTTATTTTTTAAGCGTTCTTGGTCTATGAATCAAGCCCCGTCCACACTAAACCGGAGAAATTTAAAAACGCAGCATTATTTGGATAGGTAATCATACGGTTTCGAGTTTAATTTAGAATTAATTTGCACGAGTGAGTTTTTCAAAAACCCGAAATTGCACGAGCCGCTTCGGCGAGTGCAATTTCAGCTATTGAAAAACTCACAAATGCAAATTAATCCCAAATTAAACGAGAAAAACCGTATGATTACTTAAAATTCGCGCGGAGGAAGTGTCGGAAGGTCTGCACTGCTCTCAACCAATCAGAATCGAGTAATTTTTTCATGTATATTGTAACTACGATTATTATACATTGTAGTCACCATCTGTCTTCTCATTGGCTAAAAGCCTGCAGTTAATTCTGGGAAACAGCGCAACCTACACATTATTCACTAATCTGCTAGCAGATTAGTGAATAATCCGTAGGTTGCGCGCGCAATGCATGATTTCCAAGAGCAGTGTCAAGTTCATGTGAGAACATGGCTTGTCGAAAATAAACTGTGTTCGGTGCGATAATACGTTTGTCGTTATATTCTTTAAAACAATGTATAATAAAACAATTATGCGATTCGGTTTTTGTGATATCCGAAATAATCAAGGTCTCGGTTATTGTTATTAGCCTCAGCCTACGGCTTCGGCTGATAACACTTTCCTCGACCTTGATTATTCCGGATATCACAAAAACCTCATCCAATAATTGTTTATAATCCGTCACGAAAATGGAACTTTTCGAAAACGCTCTTTAAATGGAAGGAATTTGAAAACGCCGGCTTTTCGTTGTCGTGTGGACGGAAAAACTTTGTGAAACGGAGCTTTTCGAAAACGACGTAGTCCCGATAATCACGTGATTTCCCTGTCCGAGTTTTCCTCAAACACAAATCCAAAATAACCGGTGATTATTCCGTTTTTAAATTCCTCCGGCGTAGAGTGGACAGAAAACAATTCGATGCGTTTTCAGAGTGAAACCTCCGTTTTTAAATTCCTCAGGCGTAGTCCGCTGGACGAAGCCTCAAACAAACTCCTCCTGCCCGGGAAGACGTGCAGCAAAATAACAGCTCTGGCACAAGTGAACTCTTCTGTTGAGAGCCCGAGTTGACAGATGGTCGTTGGATGACATCCATAAATAGAAGTCATACTCTCTGTACAGCTTCTAAACCAACACAAAACGTTTAGTCAACTTGCAAGAACATTTAATCAGAATAATAACCGATATTTCTTTGTTTATTCCTCATCTATGGACAGCTACAAATTTAAATTAACTATTTAGCCTCCGAACATAAAAAAACTCTTCGAAACGCCTAGCTGTGACCGGAAGTTTTTATTTCCAGCAGTTTCTAAATAATCATTCCTTATTTCCTCCTGCATCAAGCTGATATGACGTGCTCCATATGTTAATTAATTTTTAATTTTGGTTGCGAGGGGGATTAAAATAAATTGAGGTCTATTATTTACCCTCCCTCCCCAAAACTTCGCAGCCAAGGTGGAATTAAGTGAAGAAATTAAAAATCAACTCAAGAAATTAACTCAACGGGAGCCCGACAATGCATAATATACAAGAACACCGTAAGTGAAGTTTTTGGTAAATGAATGCAAAATATTTTATTTATAAAAATGAAAACGTCACGTCCTGCTTAGTTACCCGCTTTCATCTGATAAAACATATGGGTTAAGGGGACTCTTGTGATGATAATGATTATTGGCATAATTAGTCAGATGTCACCAACTAACTACGGTTCTTGTAAAGTTCCGCTTTTGGAGACACTTCGAGCTCAGTTGTCTATTTTCCGTATTGGCTGCCATTTGTTCCTCAGCTTCCTAAGGTAAGGATGACTGACGGTTTTTTCTTTGTAGTTAATTCGTCCGGCGCCAGACGTTCCCAGAATGAAGCATAAGGTTCAAGCAACAATTATCAAGTTAAAATTTGTATGAACGTCCGACTTCTGCAGCACAAACAAACAACCACCAAACCCGTTGTATATTCTGTCACACAGCTGCCAAAGGAACAACGTTTTTGTGGTAATTTGGCTGATTCCTATACCAACCTGAATAGTAGAAAGTCAAGGGATATTCATGAAAAGGAAAAACGGATTTTGGTGAGAAGAGTAATGCATATTTTCACATTAGCGTTTGATATGTGCAAAGTAAAGAAGCAGGCATCTGCTTTCCCTAAACTGTTTAGATATTGCGTATTTAAATTAAGTTCGTGATGCTTAAGTAAAACTCGTAAGGGCCGTTAGAATTAAATTTCGCTTGAGGTGAGAACGTGACCATATACTTGAAAACAAAGCTTCTTCACGTTTCGCACCAAACAAACTAACGAGGAAATAAACGAACAGGGATCTAATGAATGCGTTGTTTAAAAGCCTGAATTTTGGAACAATATCGATGCCATTTCAGTTTTCCTCGTTATCACGTTGAGTTTTATGGCCGCTTTTCACTTCTTTATTGTTTCCCATTTCTCTGTAGAACTCTCGACATCACTTCTGCGATTTTACATCTACAGTACCACGCTAAGTGCAGTAAAGCCAAACAAAAAGCACGCTGATTGGCTTTCGTGCATAGCCAGAATTGCACACTTACGAAAACTTCACGTCACCAATATGTGTTAAGGCGTAAATGCTATAACATTCAATTAGAAGCTTTGAACCATACCAAGTTAATTACTCGGGCTTCCGTAGGAGAGCCCTAGTCTTAAAATGCTGGCGTTTTAGTCGCCAAAAGGGGGGTCATGGTCCCAGGCGTTCCATGCGTAGACCATGGAAACTGGAGACGAGAAACGCGGCATCGCTCGCTCTTCGTGACAGAATGCGGTGTTTTGCGAAGAAAGTTTTGGCAAGAANTCGCACCTTATACGTTCATCTCACATACAAAGATGTCGATCGTTTTCAGAAAGGGTCGGTCCACGAATTATATTGCTTGAAAGCCAGCCAGGTAAGCAAAATTCACGCTCGAAACGTTCTCGTGAGATAACAACTGAGCTGATTGCAGTATGAGTTCAATCTACGAAAACACTGGCAAAAAATAGGCAGTCAATGAGGGTATGTGGCTACTGCTGTTATTATTTAGAACACTGCAGTAAAACAAATCATATTGCAATAAAACGAGCTNGGTAGGCCACTTTTTAAAGTCTGACCAGAATTACGAGATATTTGATACCGTTATGTTTCATTTCAAACCTGATAATGATGTCAAGATAATTTACCACTTACGGGGTTAAAGCAGAGGGGGTTTTGACTTCAGATTAGTTTTTACTAATAAGTAGTTTTAATTACTTCTATCGATATCGAAACAATTAATAATTTTAGCTATTACAACACAAATCAGTGGATTAGTTGAAAGTCCCTTTAGTAGGAGTGTTCCATAAGTTTAGTTATTACTCGGGCTTTCGCAGGAAAGCCCGAGTCATAAAATGCAAGCGTTTTGGTCGCCAAAATGGGGTTCGTGGTCCCAGGTGTTCCATGCGCAGACCATGGAAACTGGGGACGAGAAACGCGACATTGCTCGCTCTTCGTGACATAATGCGGTGTTTTGCGAAGAAAGTTTTGGCAAGAATCGCGCCTTATACGTTCATCTCACATACAAAGATGTCGATCGTTTTCAGAAAGGGTCGGTCCACGAATTATATTGCTTGAAAGCCAGCCAGGTAAGTAAAGTTCACGCTCGAAACGTTCTCGTGAGATAACAAGTGAGCCGATTGCGGTATGAGTTCAATCTACGAAAACACTGGCAAAAAATAGGCAGTCAATGACGGTATGTGGCTACTGCTGTTATTATTTAGAACATTG